GGGTAGTGCTCGGGGCGTGCCTGGAAGAAGGGCCAGGAGTCGTGGCTGTAGCTGTAAACCCACTCACAGAAATGATTGCCCAGGTCAAAGCCCCTGCAGTGGGGAGGGGGCGTCAGCAGGGACCCCAAAATCACCGGGACAGACCCCACAACCACCGAGAGAGACTCCAAACAAACACACCAGGGAGAGATCCCAAAACCACTGGAGAGGGGACCCAAACACTCCAGGAGAGGGACCCCAAATCCATCAGGAGAGACCCCAAATCCCACCGGGAGAGGGGATTCAAGCCCCAAATCCCACCGGGAGTGTGGAGAGGGGAAAGGGGGTCCCAAATCCCACAGGGATCGTGGAGGGATGAAGGAACCCCTAAATCCCAACAGGAGCAGGGAGCCGTGACTGGGAGATCCCAAATCCCACCAAAACCACGGAGCAGGAGGGAGAAATCCCCAAATCCCAGCGGGATCGGGGAGTGTGAGGGGGAAACTCCCAAATCCCAGCGGTATCAAAGAATGTGAGGGGCAGCAGGGACCCCCAGGGACCCCCCCAAACCCCCAGGGACCCCCCCAAACCCCCAGGGACCTCCCAAACCCCACACCTGTAGTTGTAGCTGCTGTACTCGAAGTCGATGAGCATGAGCTGGTCCGAGGAGCCCTCACGCCCCGCCAGGAGCAGGATGTTCCCTACGGGAATTGGGGATTTTGGGGGAATTTTGAGGGGATTTTGAGGGGATTTTTGGGGAATTTTGGGGACAGGGCCACCCCCCGGTGGGTGACACTCACCCTCCTGCACGTCGTTGTGGCAGAAAACCACCGGGGATGGGGTGGACTCCAGCAGGTCCCTGAGGGACAGAGAGAGGACAGGGGGGACAGGGAGGGGACAGGGGACACATCAGGGACAGCCTGGGGACACCTTAGGGACACGGGGACAGCCCAGGGACAAGGGGGTCTTAGGGGACACCAGGGACACGGGAATAGAGGGGGACAAAGGGACAGAGGGACACAAAGGCGAGGACAGAACCACGGACACCCCAGAAGGCTGCCCTGGGGACCCCCCGAGGCCGGGAGGGGACAGGGGACAGCCGAGCTGGGTGACAGGTGACATCACCTGAGGCTCCTCATCTCCTGCTCCAGGTTGTAACCCCGGAGCTGCTCCAGCTGCTCCAGCTGTGCCTGATCCGGGAATGTCAGCTCGGAGATCTGCTCCAGGTACCTGGGGACAGCGTGGGGACAGCGTGGGGACAGTGGGGACAGTGCCCCAAAGCCACCCTGGCCACCCCAGGGCCACCCTGTGACCCCTCTGTGCCACGGGACCCGCTGGAAACAGCCAGGGAACCCCCGGGGAGCTGGGCCCGCTGGGATTTGGGGTCCCCACTCCCTGATCCCAGTGGGATTTGGGGTCCCCACACCCCAATCCCTGTTCCCAATGGGATTTGGAATTCTCCCACCCCAATCTCTGCTCCCAGAGAGATTTTGGGTCCCCACTCCCTGATCCCAATGAGATTCTGGGGCCTCCACTCCCTGTTCCCAGTGGGATTTGGGTCCCCAATCCATTAGGATTTAGGGTCCCCACTCCCCACCCCTATTAGGATTTGGAGTTCTCCCACCCCATTCCCTGCCCTCATTATGATTTGGGATCCCCCTCACCACTCCCTGCCCCCATTAAGATTTGGGGTCTCCCCACCACTCCCTGTTCCCAGTGGGATTTGAGTCTCCGCTCCCTGCCCCCATAAGGATTTGGGGTTCCCCTCACCACTCCCATTAGGATTTGAGGTTCCCCTCACCACTCCCTGTCCCCATTAGGATTTGGGGTTCCCCTCACCACTCCCATTAGGATTTGGGGTCCCCCTCACCACTCCCTGCCCCCATAAGGATTTGGGGTGCCCCCTCACCACTCCATGGTCCCAAAAAGCCACTTGGGCTCCTTGTTGAAGGGCATGGCCATGCCGTGGAACCTCGCCATCTTCTCGGCGATCTCCGCCGACACTCGGGGCTCCCGCAGCTCCTCCGTGCGCAGCCGGCGGCTCTGGGGGAACACGCCGAGTTTTGGGGCGCCCCTTGGGGTGGGGAGGGGGTCGGGGAGGGGGTCGGGGGGGACCCCCAAATCCTACCGGGATGTACTGCTCCAGCCGGCCCTGCGGGAACACCCCGAAGAGGCGCGGCCCCAGCGCGCGCTCGGCCAGGATGGCGAACATGACACTCTCCAGAACCAGCGAGTCCATGCCCTGGGGATGGGGGACACGGGAGCCCCCGAAACAGGGAACCCCGAAATGGGGGAGCAAATAGGGACAGGAAAATGGGGGCAACAA